GGGTACGCTGGCGACGATCGAGTTTCGGGCCAGGAGCTTTGGTGCGGCGCCACTCTGTCTGGAACCCAAGGCTGTGCCAATGTTACGGAGCTGTCAGCCTTGGCCGTTGCGAACTTGATGGACGGCCGGGTCGGCCCCCAGCTGACCATTGGAGGGCTGACGCCCCGTGACTTCGAAAAAGTTTGAAACCATTGGTTAAGACTTCCCTGAGGGCGAGGGAGTGAGTGCCTTCAAAAGCCTCGGACGGGGCGAAGGAGGTCGATTTTGGACTGATTTGGAGATCTGTTAGACCTGTTCGATCCGAGTATGCCAACTTCCCCTACTTTGTACAGATGCACATAGTTTGTAAAATAAATTGGTTCGCCAAAGAACTCGCAAAGTCTCCATCGCCTCCTGAGAACTTCAAAGACCATCGGCCTGCAAAACTTGGCAGGACCAAAGCACCAACAACGAACGAACCAACATTTACTGGCGCACTCCCCCTCTTTCGGCCTTCACACCCCTCCCGGCCCTTTCGCAGTCGCCGGCCTAGCCCCCGCACTCGGCAGTTCCGGCTCGCTCGGCCCTAATCCACGCTTGGCCCTTCCGCGAGGGCCGGCCGAACTGGTAGTGACCCTAATCTTCTAGGGGGACAATGGCTGTGTCCGGGCTACACAAGCGAGATTCCGAGCAAGAGGGGACTCCCTTCTTTCCGACTTCTTGAGCTGTTTGGTACAATGCGCGATTTATGAGTTGAGGAGGAAAGCTAAACAAAAAAAAGTTGAAAAAGTGTTTCATGACTCCTTTAATGTAAAAAATACTAACAATCGACGAAGCGACGTTAAGTGCTGGATCTATAGGCTTCTTGCACTGACGTCACATCGCATACTTTTGCACACCAAGTAAAAGGAGGAGAAGGAAGCTGCTTTTGTAAGAATTTTGAGCGACAGGTTAATCTTCTATAATCTTCTGGGAGGAGAATAGCGACGCTGTGCTAATCCGGGAGGCACAAAGGAGGGTCCTGATAAGAGGGGAGCTCCTTCTTCCCCTCTTCTCTGGAGGGTATCGGAAATGACGTCATGTGCAAGGGGCCTATCCACAGAGAATGCGAGCTTGACCCACTTCGGCTTTTGTGCTGAGCTGGGACCGTGCATGCTGCATTGTTCATGCAGGCCGGAGTGGAAACAAAAGGGCCCCCCTCTCCCTCATCGGAGAACACAAACTCCAGCCGAACGCTGACGCCGCGTTCGGTTATGTCGGCCGAGCGCTGAGTCATTGTATATTTGCTGTCCCCATCCATGTAGTTCTAAAGTTAACCGCTTGGGGTGTTACGGTCGCTCCTCCCCAATAGGGAGGTTCTAGTGAGGGTGGCCGCAACTCAAAACCTGGAGAGCGTTTGCAATTTAATGGCGGCGTCTGAGGGAGAGGATTGGGAAAGGATATGCGCAATGTTGCCTCCAAGAGAGCAGACGCCCGCTCTGTTGCTCCATGCGCCTTTCCTCTCCTCGCCTCGCGGCTGCAGGTCGGGGAATATTCTAACTTTTGCCTCGTGATTACATGGCGGAATCGCAACGTTTTGAAGGAACGAGGTGTGTTTTCTGTCTTTTGTGACAAGATGAACAATGTCAAAAGTATAAGATGCCAATTCTTTCAACAATAAATCGTTGCACAGCTCCTTTAACCCTTTGCCTACCGCGAAAATTTTGCAAAAAAACTGTTTGAAAATATCGATTCTCTTTTTGTGCCCCATAAATTTAATATGCAATACAAAGGCCAAAAAAAATTATTATATGAGAGATCTTTGAACACGCTGCGAAAGAAAAGGGGACTCAAGTTCGGCTTCACTGCATTACCGCAGACAGTTCACATCACCTTGCACATGGACGTTCAGGCCGAGCGTAGCAGTACTGCAGGCAGTTCACATCACCTTGCACGCAAAGTGAACACAAAACGCAGCGGGGTCGGAAGGGGATTTTTTACGTTGATTCTAGTCCAATGCCTACATGTCCTCATCGAAATCGGAGTCATCTGAGCCAAAAAACCAATAACTCGGATGCATCGCTCTTGCTGTCCGACGAACGATTAATTTCCTCGTCTTCCGAATCTGAGGAGACACCACAATATCTTTGTTTTTGTCCCAATTTTGAGGCAAGAACGTCCCTATGCACGCAGCGGCCAGAAGTCATAGAGATCATGCATACTAACTCTACAGGGTGATTCAAGGAGAGGCCACCAGGATCTTTAAATCAACCGCAAAATTAGGTTTCACGCTACGACCTTGTGCAGCGTCGGCTACAGATGGTGCAAAATTTTTTTTCTAAAATTTGCAAAGAGCAAACTTTCCTGAGGAAAAAGTAAAGAAAGAAAAAGGCTTAGCTCCTATGGAAACGCAGCAACACCACCGGTCTTCAAACAACACGGCGCCGTTTCGCACGGGAAACAAGAGATGGCGCAACGAACGAGCATACGGCGAATACGGCGCCGAGATGGCCGAGAGCCAGCGTCTTTGGCGGACAATCTTTTCGACTCAAAAGCGGCGCGCGTTTCGCAGGCGGCGACATTCACAGAAACAAAAACGGTTGCGGTAACAACAAGGAACTACAGTTTTTTTTGTCTGCTAAAGACGCCAGCTCTTGGCGTCGTATGCTCGTTTGTTGGCGCCAGTTGGCGTCGCGACCGCTTGCACCATCTCCTGTCTCCCGTGCGAAACGGCGGCGTGTTGTTTGAAGACCAGTGGCTTTGCTGCGTTTCCATAGGAGGTAAGCTTTTTTCTTTCCTCACTTTTTCCTCAGATAAGTTCGCTCTTTGCAAATTTTACAACAAAAATGCACCATCTGTGGGCAACGCTTCACAAAGTCGTAGCGCGATAGGTTAAAAAACCAAATTTTGTGGTCAATTTAAAGAGCCTGGCCTCTCCTTGAATCACCCTGTAGAGGAAAAGGTCCGCCATTTTCCCAAGCATTCTGGCTGCCGCCCCCGCAACGTTACTAAAACACTCAGTTGGGAAACTCGCCGTCGAAACCTGGGCCGCTGGCGTCCACCGAGACCGAGCTAAATGCGACAACAGCGCCACTCTTTATTGTTTGTCTGTACCGTGGTCACCTTGAGCTTTTTGAAAGTCTGTTTTTGCGTAAGAACAAACGGAAAAGACTCTTTTTGTATAAAATTCATTGGAGTTTAGTACAAAAAGAGGGGCGCGTTATGTTTTTAAAATCTTTAGTTTGCATGGTTTTGCGGCACAATTAATATTGTTTTTATACAATATTTTTGCTTAGCGTGCCAATGTAGGCCTCCAGTCAACGCTAAACTAAACCAGATAACCGGCTTCGTGGGTGGGGCGCGAGTGGGTGCGCCACTGATCTCTAGATCAGTGGGGTGCGCCCCAGGAATACGAAACCGTGAAACCACCAGATTGCCGAGATTTCGATAGAAGGGAAGTTAATGCAGCGTAATGTGCAAGTTGCTTTTTATAAGCGTTAGAATAGCTCAGAATTTAGTTACAACGTTAAATTATCACTTTGTATTGCCATGAGTTTTCAGACTTCGCGATTAGCATTGCGACTGTCGTCCTTCATCTGGCAACACTGGTTTCTTTTTCTCGTGTTCTGTCGGTCTTCCGCGTTCTTTCACTCAGGACCCCGGATGTCGGCGCACGGGATTTGCCACTCCTCCTCACCCACCTTTACTCCTGTGCCAGAACTTGACGCCGTCATTCTTAAATCCCCTGTTGCCTGCGTTGGGACAATTTTCCACCAAATTCAGAAATGTAATATGTTTTTATTTTCTGTGAAGCGCCATCTATCCACGGCAAACCTAACTAGAAACACGAGCCGAGCTCGCCTTCGTGGAGAGCGGTACAAACCAGTGGTACAAACAGTGTGGATGAACCCAGGTCGTCGAGGATAGGGAAAGGTTTAAAGAACTTCTTCGGCGAATGATGATGAACGAGTAGAAAACGTGTCTTCAGCACGCTGCCACCAGCTTCTGCAACGCTATCAAAAACGAGATTTTGCTGCATGCAAGATGGACGTCCGGTTGTTGCTTCAATCTTCAGTTAGGCTAAACACAACAATTTCTAACCAACAAATTTAAAGAGACGGTAACACCCCCCCAAATTTTTTTGTTTTTTGTTAGGCGATTAATGAGGGTGTCAGAAGACTACCCAATGAATATTTTGCCGCAGCATCACATATATTTTTAATAAAGTAAAAAAAACGCAACTGCTCGAAATTGAAACTGGACGGGGGAGAAAGAATATAGAGGAGAGAGTTGGCGGAAGTCACGTGGCTGTGAAACTTTTTTTCTTCAATCGACATATTTGCGGCTTTTTAGAAGTCACAAAAGGGTATTATATTTCTTTTCTATTTTTAATAATGAGTGTGTCTTCAATGACCCACGACTTTGATTATATTTGGTGGTTGTATCTAAACCATAGAAAATGACACATGACCACGAACAAGAGAGTGAGCCAGGCTCAAACCGGACAGTTCTCGATTGGCAGTTTTCGGTCGGAAAGAAAACGAATTTCGAGCCACCAATTGCGTTTTAGGTAGTTGGGCTCTCATGTCATGTACAAATAAGAACCTTAGCGAGCATAAATACCTGTCAGTGTACGTTTAAAGGTCCAGTCTGCAAGGAGGTTGCCGCAGCCGTTGGAGACTAGTATTTGTTGTATTTTCTTGATGTTTCTCCCTTACAGCACTACTGCCATGGCCTACTGCAGGTGTGCCACTTGTGCTGCTAACTTGTTTTGGAGTTTGCAGATGTGTCATCTCTGGCGTGTCATCTGTCACTTCCACACTTGGTCTTAGGCAAGCATCTCTTCCGTCCTCCGGCTCTGGTTGGCTTTGGTGTATGGAGTAACCACTACGTAGCTGGTCAATGTGACGATTCCAAGTCGCTTCTCAATGTGACGATTCCAGGTCGCTTCCAGGGGCCTCCGCAGACTCTCAACCTACGATGCAGCGTGCATCGCGCTGTGCCGTTCTGTTACGGTTTGAATAAACGGATTACCCCTGTTATATATATATTGACATGTTAGTGGCGCCCTCTTAGTGGCGGTTTGCCCTCGTGAATAAAAGTCAGGCCTAGCTGTGTGGTACACACACATGTTGGCGGCCCGTCTGAATCCATGGGTCTGGGTCTGATTCAATCGACAACAATCAATATATAACATGGTGTCAGAAGTTAAAATTTCGCAACTCGGCAACTCCCCGAAACAACTACAGTAAAGCAACAACTGTATCACCATGGCGTTTCCCCTGATCCAACCGCCCAAGCCGTTTGAACCAGGCAGCAACCCCGCCGAAACGTGGTCGGAATGGAAGACGGCGTATGAACTCTATGAGGCAGCCTGCGAGTATACAGACAAGCCCCCAGCAACCAGGCGAGCGCTCCTGCTACACGTCATCGGCCCAGCAGCACGGAAAATTGTCGACACATTCGTCTTTCCAGCTCCGGCAACTGGTGAGCCTCTAACAGACACAGTGGCCGCTATCTTTGCGAAGTTCGATGAGAAGTATCTGCCGTACAAAAACGTGACGCAGGCGGCAGCTATTTTCAACTCAATGTGCCAAAAAGAAAATCATCCGATTGACGACTTCATCGCTGAGCTACAAGGCCAATCGAGGAAATGCGATTTCGGCGACCAGCACGACCGCCTCCTAGGCGACAGGATAATCATTGGCATTCGCGACACAGCTCTGCGAGAGCGGCTGTTTCGGGAAAGGAACCTTACTCTCGAAAAGATCATCATGACGTGCAGAGCGGCTGAAATTTCAAAGCAGCACGTATCTTCGCTGTTGACGACTGCCGATAGACAAGAGGCGACGGTCGACAACTTGAACTGCGGAAGACAGCGGCAGGAAAACAGACAACAACCGAGAAAACAGCCCCAATATCAACAAAGAAGCAACCATCCACAACATAGAGAAGCCAAGCACCAGAAAAGCTGTAGTAGGTGTGGAACCACTCACCTGCCCCGACAGTGCCCCGCCTACGGATCCACTTGCTACGCCTGTGGCAAGTTTGGACATTTTGCAAAGCTATGCCGACAGAAACAACGAGTGGCACCGCGACACGTCCGAACTCTAGACGTGGAGGAAGAAGTGACTGTTCAAGATTTTGGTCTGGGCAGCCTGACTGTAAACGACATCGCAGAAGATTCACTCTCCGACTGGCTTGAGACTGTCGACGTCAGCGGCAACCCAGTGAATTTCAAGCTGGACACGGGTTCCGATGTCAACATACTTCCAGAGCAGCTTGTGTTTAAATGGGAACCCCATCCAGCTATCAAGAAGACTCAAGCAAAGGTTACAACGTATCTGGGTGAGCAGCTTGATATAGAAAATGAGTGCCAGTTCCTTTGCACTGTGAAGAATGCCCAGTCCAACGTCAAGTTCTTGCTTGTGAAAGGAAATCTCAAGCCCATACTTGGAGCAGCTGCGTGCACAGCCTTAAACCTTTTGCATCGAGTGAGGCACATCGAAGTGGCAAATAAAGCCTCTCATCCTGCTCCGGACTTTGAACAAATACTTCAAGAATTTCCAGAAGTATTCAAGGGCATCGGCAAACTCCCAGGAGAATACAGCATTCGCCTGAAACCGGATGTAAAGCCTACGGTGTCTGCCCCTCGCCGGGTGCCAAGTGCACTCGAAGAAACTGTGAAGGCCGAGCTCACAAGAATGCAGGACAATGGCATTATCAAGGCCGTGACAGAACCAACTGACTGGGTTCATCCCATCGTCATCATCACAAAGAAGGATGGAAATGTGCGGATCTGTCTGGATCCAAGAAACCTAAATGCAGCAGTTAAGAGGCAGCACTACCGCATTCCAGTTCCAGAAGAACTTTTTGCGCGGCTATCTGGGTGCACTGTGTTTTCAGTGCTTGATGCCAAAAGTGCATTTTGGCAGCTGGCTCTTGATGAAGAGAGCTCGTACCTGTGCACATTTGCCACACCTTGGGGTCGGTACAGGTTCCTCAGAGTTCCGTTTGGACTCAGCACAGCTCCAGAGCTCTTTCAGCAAGCCATTGACAGAATCTTCGAGCGCCAAACCATTGTGATGCCGTACTTTGACGACATCTTGGTAGCCTCTAGAACGCAGAGTGACCATGCAACCCATCTGCGAAAGGTGCTTGAAATAGCATGCAACAACAATCTGAAGCTAAACAAGGACAAGCTCAAGCTGGGACTGTCTACAGTAACCTACCTTGGTCACCAGCTTACCCAAGAAGGCATTGCTCCTGACCCTGAAAAGGTAAAGGCAATCCAGGCCTTACAACCACCAAATGACAAGGCAGAGCTCCTGCGATTTCTCGGAATGGCAACATACCTTATGAAGTTTATTCCAAACTTCTCAACAAAGACGCAACCTCTGCGTGAGCTCCTGAAGTCCGACGTGGCATGGCACTGGACTCGCGAGATGTCCAATGCATTCAACGAGATCAAAGACAACCTGACCACTGCTCCAGTGTTGCATTACTTTAATGCTTCGCGACCAATTGTGATATCAACCGACGCCAGCTCGTATGGAATTGGCAGCATCCTTCTGCAGGACGGACATCCAGTGGCATACGCATCAGCAGCACTAACGCCGGCACAGCAGCGCTACGCGCAAATAGAAAAGGAACTGTTGGCCATAGTGTTTGCGTGTGAGCAGTTCTACTACTACATCTGTGGTCGAAGCGTCGTGGTGGAGACTGATCACAAGCCCCTCATCGGCTTGCACCAAAAGGAATTCTACAAAATCTCCCCCAGACTCCAACGCTTGCTCCTTCGTATCCAGCGTTTCACGGTGAAGCTAGTCCATGTGCCTGGAAAACACTTGACAGTTGCTGACACACTGTCTCGTGCACCTAATCCAGCGCAGACCATCAAGACAGTAGACGAGGAACATGGTGTCCTGGTCTGCACATTGGTTCAAGCATCCACAGCAAAGCTGGCTGAAATCCAAGCTAGCACGGCAGCAGATGAGGTCTTGAAGCGTGTAACGACCTACATCGAACACGGTTGGCCAAATAAAATCTCAAAGGTCCACCCGTCAGTCAGACCCTTCTACTCAAGAAGAAGTGAGCTCTACATAGCCGATGGCTTCGTCTGCTATGGCGAACGACTAGTAGTGCCAGAAGCATGCAAGAAGGATGTGCTCTCAAGACTTCACATGACCCATCGCGGCATTGTCGCATGCAAAAACCTGGCTTCCCAAAGCGTCTTCTGGCCTAGGATGAACCAGGACATCGAGGAGCTGATCAGCAGCTGTGAAGTTTGTCAACGCCACCAAAGAGCAAATCAAAGAGAACCACTTCTTGACCGAGACTTGCCAATACGCCCATGGGAGAAAGTAGCCATGGATTCCTTCTACCACGGTGGCACCACTTATTTGCTTGTGGTAGATTATTACTCGAAGTTTGTGGAAGTCAAGAAAATGTCGACTACAACGGCATCTGCTCTTATATCAGTGCTCAAGGAGCTGTATGCGTGCCACGGCATACCAAGTGAAGTTGTCAGTGACCAAGGCCCCCCATTTAATTCTGTGGAGTATAGAAGCTTCAACAAGGAGTGGGATATCGTCCACAACCCATCGTCACCACTCTTTCCGAGGTCCAATGGACAAGCAGAAAGGACAATACAAACCATCAAGGCCACAATGACTAAGGCTCTCTCCGAAGGAAAGGACTTGGCACTAGTGTTGATGACCTACAGAGCAACGCCAAGTAACGGCCTTCCATCTCCGGCAGAAATGTTGATGGGAAGAAGAATAAGGACTTTATTACCAGCCTGTCCAAGCAGCTTGCTGCCACACTATCCACACAAGTCATTCTCCAAGCAGCTTCAAGCAAGGCAGCGTGCACAGCATAAACATGCGGATCAACATGCGAAAGAGATGCCTCATTTTCAGAAGAACCAGCCAGTTTGGTTTTGGCATGGAAAAAGTTGGAGAAAAGCAGTTGTGACACAGGTGGGTCCAGCTCCACGAAGATACCAGGTGACATCGCCAGATGGCCAGAGCTACGCACGTAACCGCCATCACCTTCGTGTGAGAATCGACTCCAGAGAGTCCAAGCCCAACCGGAAAGCTGACCCGAGGAAACCCCGACTGACGGCTGAGGACTACTATCCTCTAGACTCCTCGCCCACTGCCAGCAACTCCCCTCGTCAGTCCAATGCAACAGACTCGCCACCACAAGCTCAACCCCGCCAGACTCGCTCAGGAAGACCTGTGAAGATTCCGTCAAGGTTCCTGTACTAAACCCAGTCGGACATTTTATTTTTGTGCATTTGTTACTTGTGTGGCGGCATGTTATATATATATTGACATGTTAGTGGCGCCCTCTTAGTGGCGGTTTGCCCTCGTGAATAAAAGTCAGGCCTAGCTGTGTGGTACACACACATGTTGGCGGCCCGTCTGAATCCATGGGTCTGGGTCTGATTCAATCGACAACAATCAATATATAACAACCCCGAGTAAGTGAAAATGGCGACGAGGAAGTTTCTTGAAGGATGGATGACTCTGCTCATCACCGGACGGATTCCGGAGTTTATCCCCGGCGGAAACTGGAGTTCGTAGTTGGAACGCCTCGAATTCTACTTCAAGGCTAAGAACATCACAAGCTCCCAAAGAAGTGAGCCGTACTCCTGACGTCCTGCGGTGAATCAACTTATGACACCGTACGAGCCCTGCTCGCGCCCAAGAAGCCTTCGTAGGTCGAGTATGAGGACATCATCAAGGGCCTCAACGAACACTATGACCCCAAGCTGGCAGAACTACTCAGTCGGTTCAAATTCCACCAACGGAAGCAAACACCGACAGAGTCCATCTCAGAGTATATGGCCGCACTGCGAAAGATTGCCGCTGACTGTAACTTCGGCCCAGTGACGACCGCATCGACCACACCCACTCCGGCAATGGCCACGGCGGCCACGCCTGAGTCGGATGTCAGTTCATCATAAGAAAGCCGACAGGTTCCGCAAGCCCCAGCGAGAAAATTCTCCACGGTGATACCACTCCAGGTGATGCTGAGGGACTGATTTATTTGTGGCACCAAGGATTTCCAGCTTCAACAACGTTTGCTAGTGGAACGAAACATCACCTTCGACCGCGCCTACGCTCTTGCATTGGCAACAGAGTCTGCCGCCAGCCAGCAACTCCAGATGCGGAAACCAGAAGGAAAGGTGCACAGTTCTACTCCAACCACAAGTAAGGGGGCAAAACCATCAAAGAAACCATGTTTTCATTGCACGGGCATGCATTCACCTGATGAATGTAAGCACGCGAAAGCCACGTGCAAATTTTGCCACAAGAAGGGACACCTCTAAGCGTGTTTCAAGCGCAAAGCTCAACGGAAGGCGCAAGAACGCTCGACAAGTCATACTCATCAGTTGACAGCTACACAAGATGAGATGGATGGAGACCTCTTCGCTGTGAACAGCGTCACTCAAGGGGACAGATCGAAAATCGTCGTTCAGCCCCTAGTGGACGGACAACCTCTGAAGATGGAAATGGACTCCAGTGCATCGCATTCTATCATCGGCTCTAAGACTGTTTCTCGCGTTTGGCAAGATCAACTGCCTCAGCTTGAACGCTGTGATCTCTCTTTGCACGTATGGGCTGGGGACAAGATGCAGTTTGCTGGAAAACTCCCTGGCGTGTGATTCAAAGGGAAAGAAGCTCGTCTCAACCTCTATGTGGTTACTGGAGCAGGAGCAAGCCTCCTGGGGCAAGACTGGTTTTCTGCTTTCACATCAAGGTGTCCGGAGCACCATGCTGTGTCGCCGATAACTCTCAACGATATTATCGCAAAGCATGACAAGGTGTTCAAAGGATCCCTTGATGGACATGTCGGCACCCCACTGCACATTGACCTCAACCAAGAGGTAACACCAAAATCTTGAAGTGTCGACTAGTTCCCCTCGCTCTACGGACAGCGGTTCACGAGGAGCTGGACAAACTTCAAGATCAGAACATTTTGGAGCCAGTGAAGTCGTCGTCCTGGGCAACAGCTTTAATCATCGTTCGGAAGAAGAACGGCAGTCTGCGGTTATGTGGAGACTACCGATGCACGGTAAATCCTGCACTCAGGTCCAACGCATATCCGTTGCCCATGGCATCAGAATTGTTGTCAATCGTTAGAGGAGGCAAGATCTTCTCAACGATAGATCTTCAACAAGCCTATCAACAACTACACGTTGACGACGCCATGGCAAAATTACTGACCGTGGCCACCACGAAGGGACTCTACCGCGTAAAGCGAATCTCTTTCGGAGTTTCGGTGGCGCCGCTGCTCCTTTAGCAGTTCATGGATACCTTGCTAACCGGCCTAAAAGGTACCGGCGCGTGCCTCGATGACATCATGGTCACGGGGACAACAGAAGAAGAGTGCCTGCAATGCTTGGACGCCGTTCTGCAAAGGCTGAACGAGGCAAAACTGCGCGTATGCAAAAAGAAATGCAAGTTCGGTGTTCCGTCCATGGAGTTTCTTGGCTACCACGTGGATGCCAAGGGTGTGAGCCCAACTAAGAAGAAGCTAAAGGCAATCATCAAAGCGCCCATACCCACCAACAAAAAGGAGCTACAGGCTTTCCTGGGTATCCTGAGCTTCTGCAGTTGATTTTTGCAGAACCACGCATCCATCGCCGAAAAGCTGCATCGACTCCTCGACAAAGACGCCCAGTGGCGCTGGGGTAGCGAAGAACGCGAGGCCTTCCAGAAACTGAAGATCTTAACCTCAGCACCAATTTTGGCTCACTTCAGGGAAGAGCAACAACTTATCCTGTCTTGCGACGCGTCGAAATACGGCGTTGGAGCGGTTCTGTCTCAGCTCAGCGAGGACGGTTTTGAAGCACCAATCGCCTACGCTTCGCAAACGTTGGGCAAAAGCGAACGCAACTATGCTCAACTCAACAAGGAAAGACTAACAGTTGTATTTGGCATGAAGCATTTTCACCAGTACGTTGCCGGTCAACACGTGACTGTCTACACGGACCACAAACCGCTCTTGGAGATAATGAGCCAAGGACGCCAGATTCCACTCATGCTCTCACCGCGCATGACGCGATGGTGCCTCATGCTAGGTTGCTACGACGACTTGCGCTATCGGCAAGGCAAGAATCACCAGAACGCAGACGCGCTCAGCCGGCTACCTCTGCCAGACACAGAGGACGAACTGGCGCCACCAGGTGATGTACTCTTGCTGGAAGCCATGGAGAGTCTACCACTCACTGCTCAGCAGATAGCAAGTCTCACTCAAGATGACCCGGTGTTGTCGCAAGTGTACAAGGGACTGTAAGATGGCACAACCTCCAAGTGGACAGGTGACGATTTCACGCTGTACAAGCGTCAAGAACTTGAGTTGGCAACACAAAATGGCTGCGTAACTTGGGGAGCACGTATAGACCTTTTTCAAATACCGACAACACCAGGCGGTGGCTGCACGTACTAAAAATCGAGGAAGTGACCTACCTGCGCTACCAATCGATATTGGGAGCTACGCTACCAGTTGCTTTGCTCTCCGAGCTGCGTCGTGTGCCCAACGAGACTTTAAAGAGGGAAATCCATAGCGTCCATCCAAACGTCGTGTTTTTCTTTCCGTCCACTTTCTTTTTTTGTGTAGCACAATTATATATATGCTGCAATTACGTGTCCTACTCGTCGATCTACAGCCTCATTCCGAATTTCCTCGATTTTTCGTGCCGACCTCCACCGCTTGGCATCGCGCGTGCGCAGAACGCTTCTCGGAAAAGGTCCATTATCATACCACAAGCAGCGCGCGAGCAAGCCCTGAAGATGCTACACGCAAATCATCCAGGCATTGTGGCGATGAAAAGCATTGCCCGAAGTCTTTTTTGGTGGCCAAGGCTAAATGCAGACATAGAGGACACCGCAGCTGTGTGCTAGACCTGCCAGCAACATCATCGGTCAAAAACAGCAGCACCGACACCGGACTGGTCACCTGCCAACCGACCCTGGGAGACAATCCACATCGATTTCGCAGGACCAATCGATGGGGTTTCGTATTTGATTATCGTCGATGCATACTTCAAGTGGTTGGAATTGAAGCCGATGCGTGCCACGACGTCCACACACGTCATTGACGGTCTATGCTCCGTTTTTGCAACCTTTGGCGTACCGAGAATACTTTTCTCCGACAACGTGCCGAATCTCGTATCAAGCGAAATGAACGAGTTTTTGACAAAAAACGGCATCAAGCACCACACTAGTGCACCATACATCCGGCAACTAACGGGCAAGCAGATTGGATGGTGGGCGAAACGAAGAAAGCCCGCTTGAGGTTTACGGAAGGAACAGTTCAGTGCAGAATCGCCAGGTTCTTGTTCTGACAGCACACAACGGTCTCATCTTTCACGGGAAGAACACCAGCCGAAGCAATGTTCGGCCGACGAATATCCACACCCCTCGATCTCATGAAGCGAGGGTATACGAACAAAGACCGAGAGGTTCCCAGCGATGGAGTAACGGCAGATTATTCTATCGGACAACCAGTCTACGTGAGGAATTGCGGTGGAAGTCCAACCTGGCTGCCAGCGGTAATTGTGAAGCCGATGGGAATTCGATCATTCCAGACAAGGTCGAATGACGGAAGACTTAGGCGTCGACACGTGGACCACATTCGCCGCCGACAAGAAAACAGAGGAGCTCCGGACATGGAAAAGGAAATATCTTCCTTCATGAGCTACCCGAACGCCTAGACCGCCAACGAACCCCTAGGTTTGGGACAACCGGAACCACGCGGAGAAGAGATCACCACAGACGACAACACCCCGGACGGTTCAACAACCTCCGATTCAAGGACTAGTTTCGGTCGCAGATCAAGCACCAGCACATTTGCAAGGCTATGTCTTGAGTTTTAAACCAGAAGGGGGAAACTGATATGTATGCGGAGGGCAAGTTCGTCTGCTCCTTGCGCAGGGGGTAGCGGTGACGTCAGAACGCCGAGCCCTGATTGGCTGATCGCGACCCCCTATCTGAGCGTCGTCTGCTTCTTTGCAACGTCGTCTGCTCGCAACGTCGTCTGCGTCTGTCTTACGTTTCCTGCGACTTTCGGAAGTGCAGAGGCCAGATTCACGAAACGATCTTACGTCACAAATGTGCGTAAGGCAAAACTTAAGAACAAATTCGTATTCACGAAACGAAATTTTCGTAAGTTTTGCGCAGGTTACGGCGAAATCCTACGACAGCTCCGAAGCTGTCTTACGCGGGTCCATATCACAAGAGCGAATGACATTTTAGCGAACGGCGACATTTGAGCGAATGGTCGTTTTAGCGAATAACGGGGGCGCGCGTTAACCCATCCGTCGCGCTGCGCTTTACGCCGCTTCGCGGCGACAGTCTACGGCAACTCATTACAAAAATATGAACTCACTTGGCCCACCCGAAAACGCCGCTTCGCGGCGTCCGACTATTCGCTAAAGTGTCGTTCGATGAAACGTGGGCGTT